GGAATGTTCCTTCCCTCTTGCTTACTTTCTGGCAGTCTTCCCATAACAACTGCAGAGCTTCACTATTGCCCCACACCATAACCAAGCCTCTATTCCAGAGTTTCTCAACCCATAGGTTGCAACCCAAAAGTGGGTCACAAGAATATAGGAAAAGGTTGCGAACAAACTTTAAAAATGGATTCTCTTTTAAAGGAGAAAAATGTGGGAAACCACAGCTTTTCCCTTGCAGGTTGGCAGAGTTCCAGCCTGCAAGGGGCTGCTTGGGCCCACCGTACCCCACACATACCCACCCCAGCCCCACACACTAGGGGCCTGGGGGCTGGTGGTGGGGGCAGCCTGGGGGCTGGTGGTTGGGAGTGAGGGACACTGGGTCAGGACTAGCCATCGACGTTTACAAATGGGTCCTGGTACAAAAAAGGTTGAAAACCGCTGCTCTAGTCCCATGATTAGGGGTAGGCTCCTGGGAGTTCATACCTGTGTATTTAAACTATGCCTCCTGTGGATATAGGCCCAAGCTCATACCTACAAGGGGATAATAATTTAAATTAGATCTAAAATATAATGAACAGCAGTGATGCACACTGGGGACGACAAGAAATTAACACATTCTTTGTTTTGCTGTCCCTTTCATTGCACATGCTGATGTTGCAATGAAGTCATGCCAGACAGCAGAAGCATGCAAGTTAGTTCCTAGCCAGCCTACTTGGATAAACATATCAGATGGATCTGAGAAGTCATCTATTTCAGTACATGGGATCAGCTTTAATACACTATTGAAAGATGTATTGAAGTATACACAGGAAACAATTACAATAGCTCATGTGAGGTTTGGAAGTAGTAGAATGCCTGGAACAGCTTAAAAAAAAAAGAAGACACTGTTTTGCCTGATGTAGTGGAAAATTTCCACAACATAAAGAGATAAAGAAGCAACCCAGGGACCAATTACTATTTAAAAGATAAGGAGGATGATTTGAAAAATAGATCAAAGCATAATGCTATCCACATCCTTTATCTTCCAAAAGACCTTGAAAAAAATAGCTCAGCATGACCTAGTTACCTATTTCAAGGAGAACAAACTTTTTCTTGGAGAAGTGTGCATTTTCATGGTAGGTATAACATTCCCAGGGCTTAAGAATTCCAAAAAGCAATCATGTGCCTGATTCTTTAACAACAGAAGAGGAGATAACTCGCTTTTCAGTTCGAGGGAAATAGAAAATCGTCTCTGTGCATCAGGGAGTTATTCCACCCTAATTGTAGTTTTGTAATCTAGAGTCTCAGATTCCTGCACATAGAATCCCAAAGAAGTTACATACCAAAAGCCCAGCTCAATCATTTGTAACTTTGACTTAATAAATTAAAATAAAAAAAGGAGTCAGGAAACATAAATAGGACTCCTCCAGCAATGTTGATTTGGTTTCTCTGTGCTAAGCTTGTACATTTTACTCCTGCCTAGTAATGTGCATGAGCATGTTACTACATTTGTCAGAAAATGTAGACCACAAATTTCCAGGGATATGTAAAAAGAAGAAGGATGGTTCCAGTATATAGGTTACTACAAAAGGAAACAGGAGACCCTGCTCCATTACAGGCTTCCTGTGGCAAGTCCACCTCTCTTAGCCTCACATCCCCAGCTGCCAAGAAGCGGGTTAATAGTTTTTTCCTACCTCCCAGAAAATCTGTCAGATTTAACTATGTTAGATATTTCTGTTGCGTTCAGACACTATAGAGACAGGGGATGCTGTTATGCAACTAAGACATGTAACTGAAGTAACTGCTGCATTTCAAGGCAGTTTTAAGGGTGTGAACACACCTAACAATTTGGAATGTTTCAGAGGTCTGGCTGCACATACATACAAGCCCTTTGAAATGCTCCAGAACAGAAGTTGCTAAAATGAAGTACTAGTTGGGAGCATTTCACTTTCAATTATGTGTGCACAAGGACAGCACATGGAAGTAGAGAGCTGGGGCAGAAACAAAACTTACCTCTAACTCCCTCATCCCTGCCAGACCCCTGGTGCCATGCCAACACCACAGCTGGACCCTCCAGCCCCAATCTTTCCTACCCCAAATCCAGGGGGAGAGGAGAGATTTGAGAATTTTGGAAGCTCTCCTCCAACCAAACCTGTCTCCACGCTCCCCTCTACTCTATTGCTGTGTTCCCATGAGCAGGAAAGTAGGGAGAGGGAACTAAGAGCAGAGCTGCAGATTGCTATAGCCTCCTCTAGCATCCACCAGCGGGTACAAGAGGAAGTCGCAGCACTTTGAAGCATTCCAGCCAGGAATGGCAGGGTTCATGTGTGTGCCCCCTGGGTTAATTGTTTCCTTTCTAAAGCATTTTAAGTGCGTTTCACTTGGAAGCGTTTCAGCTATTACGAACGTGAATTGTTACATCCACGATTGTTTCTGCCTGAGTCCTAAGGGTTCAGTCCTGCAAACACTATCCTGCACATTCTCATCAATGCAACAGAACAGTCACAGTAGCAAACATTTTTCTTGATAAATATAGTGGTTGTATGAACAAACTGGTAATGTTTTTCCCACTTTTCCCATTTAATCAGATAAAATTGAAGGTACTATGTATTCCACACTAGTCAGGTAGCACATATTTCAAATAGCACTTAGTACACATGTAAATACCCGAGACACAAAGATGATAAGGCAAGGGAACTACTAACTGAATTTCACCAGTTTTTAATACCATAAGCTTCAAAGATTAAAATCTTGGGGAAAAGTCAATAGCAGTAAGGTAACGCATACTGGTAAGTAAAAGCACTATGCTCTAGTCACTCAGGTTGATTAACTTGGTTGCTCTTGACAAGTGCTCAGGCAGCACTACTCAGTTTCAATTGACAATTCACATCCTATTAGAGGAAAACCTCACTATATTACTAAGCATCATTTGCTCTACTTGCTTATTCAAGATCTTATCACTTAAAGAAGACCCCTTTGTTCTCTTATTGGAGGTCATTATAATCCTGGATTTTAGTAATCATCCTTTGAAAGGCATCTGTGAGAACCATAACCTACAGACTTCACATGGGAACTAAGCAGTGAAGAGACCCCTGGCCTAAGGCAGGCTGTAGACTATCAGTACAGCTCCTGCTGAGCAGACAGACATGCAGGCCCCCGCTCTAACTCATGGCGCTTTACGTAAAGCACCATGAGTTAAAGTTCCCTCCCTAACCCAACAGACGTTCACCTGTTGTGTTGGAGGCGGGAATCAAACCTGCCTGCAAGAGTCTGAGAAGCCTTCCTGCAGCTTAGGAGCTGTCCCTCTCCCTGAGCACTGCCCCCCTCCAAGCTCTGGGAATGTCAGCAGG